AGAAAAACAGGGTATCTCAGGAGGTATGCCTCTAGATAATATTTAGTACTTGGAGCGAGGCTAACTAGGCTAGTGAGCTTGAGGATATAAATCTAACAAAGCATCTTATCATGTGGTTCCAGGGTCGAGGGAGTGACAAGGTCTCAAACACAGGGCCGGTAATGTCAGCGGGGTGGGTCTCCGTTTAGCAGGAATCAACACAAATTAATCTTACCAATTATGTAATATTATAATGGGATAATTAGTTTGTTAGAGCTGCAGTGTACTGGGCGCCACGACGCAATCTATTGTCTGGACTTTTATACTGAGAGACTATAGTAACTGCTATACTGAGAGACTATACTTATAGTACCTGCTATACTGAGAGACTATAGTACCTGCTATACTGAGAGACTATAGTACCTGCTATACTGAGAGACTATAGGACCTGCTATATTTAGAGACTACAGTACCTGCTATACTGAGAGACTATAGTACCTGCTACACTGAGAGACTATAGTACCTGCTACACTGAGAGACTATAGTACCTGCTATACTGAGAGACTATAGTACCTGCTATATTGAGAGACTATAGTACCTGCTATACTGAGAGACTATAGTACCTGCTATACTGAGAGACTATAGTACCTGCTATACTGAGAGACTACAGTACCTGCTATACTGAGAGACTATAGTACCTGATATACTGAGAGACTATAGTACCTGCTATACTGAGAGACTATAGTACCTGCTATACTGAGAGACTATAGTACCTGCTATACTGAGAGACTATAGTAACTGCTATACTGAGAGACTATGGTACCCACTAAACTATAGTACCTGCTGTGAGACCAACTAATTGTTGGAATTTTTGTTATTTGTGCATGGTGAAAATATCATAACATTAGGCAATACGTATGATTTTAAGCAACTCAAGTCTTTCTTGATAGATTGTTTAACCAAGGTTCAAGGTAGTAAATAATCGTGATATGGAGCGGTTACAATGTTTGGCTTTAAATACCATTTCCAGCCTCTTTCTTCTGACTAACAATTAAATTTTAAAACTTATGAAACTTAAAAACGTAAAGCTGAACGAACAACTTCCAATTTGACTTAACAAGTAAAAGTAGATACACTGCAAAACAAACTATCAATTGACTATTCTGAGTTAATTTCTAAAATAAAAGCAGATTGTACGGGACTACTACACGGTGCCAGACATTGTGTGAGCCGAGCAAGCATTCCTTCTCACATTGTATAGCCTTTTAAACAGTGCTTCCAAACGAATATCTCTCCTGCTTGGCAGAATACTTAATATAAAAACACAACACTTATATATATATTTAATTCTTAACTGCTTGATTATTGTGGGGCTTATTGTGTGGTGTTTTTAGATGCTTAATTTGAGTCATCTGATGTGAGTACATGCTCAATGCTATACTGAGTTATTCTAATGTTGGCCCGGACAGTACTCCTAAAAAATACCTACGCACCGGCCCGGACAGTACTCCTTAAGAAAGTACATACACACCGGCCCGGACAGTACTCCTAAAGAAAATACCTACACACCGGCCCGGACAGTACTCCTTAAGAAAATACCTACACACCGGCCCGGACAGTACTCCTTAAGAAAATACCTACACACCGGCCCGGACAGTACTCCTTAAGAAAATACCTACACACCGGCCCGGACAGTACTCCTTAAGAAAATACCTACACACCGGCCCGGACAGTACTCCTTAAGAAAATACCTACACACCGGCCCGGACAGTACTCCTTAAGAAAATACCTACACACCGGCCCGGACAGTACTCCTTAAGAAAATACCTACACACCGGCCCGGACAATACTCCTTAAGAAAATACCTACATACCGGCCCGGACAATACTCCTTAAGAAAATACCTACACACCGGCCCGGACAATACTCCTTAAGAAAATACCTACACACCGGCCCGGACAGTACTCCTTAAGAAAATACCTACACACCGGCCCGGACAGTACTCTTTAAGAAAATACCTACAAACCGGCCCGGACAGTACTCCTTAAGAAAATACCTACACACTGGCCCGGACAGTACTCCTTAAGAAAATACCTACACACCGGCCCGGACAGTACTCCTTAAGAAAATACCTACACACCGGCCCGGACAGTACTCCTTATAAAGATAATACCTACACACTGGCCCGGACAGTACTCCTTAAGAAAATACCTACACACCGGCCCAGACAGTACTCCTGAAGAAAATACCTACACACCGGCCCGGACAGTACTCCTGAAGAAAATACCTACACACCGGCCCGGACAGTACTCCTGAAGAAAATACCTACACACTGGCCCGGACAGTACTCCTGAAGAAAATACCTACACACTGGCCCGGACAGTACTCCTTAAGAAAATACCTACACACCGGCCCGGACAGTACTCCTTAAGAAAGTACATACACACCGGCCCGGACAGTACTCCTAAAGAAAATACCTACACACCGGCCCGGACAGTACTCCTGAAGAAAATACCTACACACTGGCCCGGACAGTACTCCTGAAGAAAATACCTACACACCGGCCCGGACAGTACTCCTTAAGAAAATACCTACACACCGGCCCGGACAGTACTCCTTATAAAGATAATACCTACACACCGGCCCGGACAGTACTCCTTAAGAAAATACCTACACACTGGCCCGGACAGTACTCCTGAAGAAAATACCTACACACTGGCCCGGACAGTACTCCTTAAGAAAATACCTACACACCGGCCCGGACAGTACTCCTGAAGAAAATACCTACACACTGGCCCGGACAGTACTCCTGAAGAAAATACCTACACACTGGCCCGGACAGTACTTCTGAAGAAAATACCTACACACCGGCCCGGACAGTACTCCTGAAGAAAATACCTACACACCGGCCCGGACAGTACTCCTGAAGAAAATACCTACACACCGGCCCGGACAGTACTCCTTAAGAAAATACCTACACACCGGCCCGGACAGTACTCCTGAAGAAAATACCTACACACCGGCCCGGACAGTACTCCTGAAGAAAATACCTACACACCGGCCCGGAGTAGCGGCAGTATGTTATATAAGAAATAGAAACGTTGACCACTCCGCAAGCAACCCTAGTATGAGCCACAATGTTAGGGTGGCATCAATTTAATAAAATGATAACTGTAACCACATACCAAAATGTAGCCAAGGTACGACTAAGACGTCTTTAAAAATGTACAACGGCCCTTATATGGGCAGCGTGCTATATTAGCTATTCAAGAGTCAAGTACCTGTCACCCAGTTACTGCGGGTCCCTTACTATCACCCACACGTAAACCAACTTCGGCCCAAGGTAACATTGGTCGAAGTTGGCTACATCTTGGTAACAGTAATAGTACAACAATTGCCATGTTACAATAAGTAAAACCCGTGACTTCTCAGCTGAATCATTACCCATTTGTACAATTTCAATATTGTCATAGCAATCAGATTAAACCTAATGTTTGTTATTGTCCAAGAAGGTACGTTGTTGTCATAAAACATTGAGGATCAGTAGCCATGGCAACTGTAGTAACTGTAGTAACTGCGGAGTGTGGTAACTGCAGTAACTGCAGTAACTATGGTAACCAATATGTTAAGGTGGCATGAAGAAGAGGGAGCTAACAAAATACAGATTAATGGTAGCAGACTACAAGGTAAATAACAAGCCAGGAGAGAGCTGACTAAGGCACTGTATGACGGCGAGATGTACACTGTGTGTGTACTCTGCTCACAATACCTGCTGATTAAAGATTCAAATGTCAGCTCCGCTAGTGGCGTTCCCCGCCCACGTGACTCCTCCCGCCCACGTGACTCCTAATCAGACAAGGGTCGACTAATTACGCAGTGACGTAACCTGGAGTAGCAGAGAGTGCTCTATACCTACAGCACATTATAGAGCCTTTCAAACAAGGCCTTTCAAACAGGGCCTTTCAAACAGGGTCTTTTAAACGGGGCCTTTCAAACAGGGCCTTCCAAACAGAGCCTTTCAAACAGGGCCTTCCAAACGGGGCTTCCGAACAGAGCCTTTCAAACAAAGCCTTTCAAACGGGGCTTCCGAACAGAGCCTTTCAAGCAGGGCCTTCCAAACAGGGCCTCTCAAACAGGGCGTTCCGAACAGAGCCTTTCAAACAGAGCCTTTCAAACGGGGCTTCCGAACAAGGCCTTCCAAACAGAGCCTTTTAAACAGGGCCTTCCAAACAGAGCCTTTTAAACAGGGCCTTTCAAACAGAGCCTTTCGGACGGGGCTTTTCAATCAAGGCCTTTCAAACAAGGCCACTCAAACAGGGCCTTTTAAACAGAAACTTTCAAACAGAGCCTTTCAAACAGGGCCTTTTAAACAGGGCCTTTCAAACAGGGCCTTTCAAACAAGGCCTTTCAAACAGGGCCTTTTAAACAGAGCCTTTCAAACAGGGCCTTTCGGATGGGCCTTTTAAACAGGGCCTCCCAAACAGAGCCCTTTCAAGTTAATTATAATATCGATCCTTTTATTTTAAGGTAATTGGTTTGCAAACATGTAAAACTCCAGCAATCCTAAAACTTTGTCTAAGGATTGAGAAGGTGGTTAGTACCTGACAGTGTTAATATTAGAGAATTAGGTGAGATGAACAAAATTAAACCTTATTGAGAGAGCTTGAAATGATATTTTATATCATCAAGATCGCTTTGTTTCACGAATTTCATTGTTGATGTCTCTGCAATTTTTACGTTTTTTCAAGTCAGCACTATCATCAAATTAAAATGAACATTTTGGTACTCGATAAAAGGCATACCCACAAGAACCAGTATGATCCTACCTACCTGCTATGCCGAGAAGCATTTCGTTTAAAAGTTATAGTCGTTTTGCAGAGTTACAGAATAATAGCCACTGACGACGACACAGATACGTATACTACGTATTATATACGTATTATATACGTATTATACACGTAATATAAGGGGTGTGAAGAGATTTCAGGTTACAAGGCAAGAAACAAAATAAAACAATCTGTAGCACAGTACGCACAAAATGTATACATCTAACAAAATGGGTATTACAAGTACAACCAAGATTTTACCCGTACCAATCTTTCCATCCTATCATCACACGAAAAAGTAATTTTCAGTGCACAAATTGCTAATTTAAATGATAATTGATATGACTATTCTTACTCTTAGGCAAATTATTGCGTTCTTTAATACAACTGTGTGGTATAATATTCCGTTAAGAAATTTGTATTTGAAATAGTTCCAGGTCGATTTTGTGTATCATTTTTGTATAATTTTTCAATTCTAAAAAATATCAAAATACTAATTGTTAAAAACTCTTTTCCTTACAAGATTCACTATAAAAGTTATTAGCATAATAGCAATACAAAAATGCTGTTCCGCTTTCTTAAACTACAAAAAGACTTTTGCTATAGTAACGCGTGTGTTGCTAAAGTAACGCGTGTGTTGCTATAGTAACGCGTGTGTGTTGTTATAGTAACGCGTGTGTGTTGCTATAGTAACGCGCGTGTTGCTATAGTGACGAGTGTGTTGACATGGTTACAATGTACCAACAGCTGCTCGTATAGCGCTAACGTCCATGTGGAACGCTGGTTTTCCTTCTTGAACACTAAAAAGCTTTCTCTGGAAGTACTCTCTGATGCAACTCATACCTGCATCTGAAAAAGATAGAGGAGGTTAGTTCTACAGTTTAATAGGTAGGGAGAAGTTAGTTCTACAGTTTAATATGTAGGGAGAGGTTAGTTCTACAGTTTAATAGGTAGAGGAGGTTAGTTCTAAGGTTCTACAGTTTAATAGGTAGGGAGAGGTTAGTTCTACAGTTTAATAGGTAGATAGAGGTTAGTTTTACAGTCTAATAGGTATATGTTAGTTCTACAGTTTAAAAGGTAGGGAGAGGTTAGTTTTACAGTTTAATAGGTAGGGAGAGGTTAGTTCTACAGTTTAATAGGTAGGGAGAGGTTAGTTCTACAGTTTAATAGGTAGAGGTTAGTTCTACAGTTTAATATGTAGGGAGAGGTTAGTTCTACAGTTTAATAGGTAGGGAGAGGTTAGTTCTACAGTTTAATAGGTAGGGAGAGGTTAGTTCTACAGTTTAATAGGTAGGGAGAGGTTAGTTCTACAGTTTAATAGGTAGATAGAGGTTAGTTTTACAGTTTAATAGGTATATGTTAGTTCTACAGTTTAAAAGGTAGAGAGAGGTTAGTTTTACAGTTTAATAGGTAGGGAGAGGTTAGTTTTACAGTTTAATAGGTAGGGAGAGGTTAGTTCTACAGTTTAATAGGTAGGGAGAGATTAGTTTTACAGTTTAAAAGGTAGGGAGAGGTTAGTTCTACAGTTTAATAGGTAGGGAGAGGTTAGTTCTACAGTTTAATAGGTAGGGAGAGGTTAGTTCTACAGTTTAATAGGTATATGTTAGTTCTACACGTATATCTAAATACAACATTCGTCTGATACGAAACTTTTTGAGATATTTTAGCCTAAATTACGAGTTAAGTTTAAATCAAGTTGAGTTAAAGCTTTAAAATAGGTGATGAAACTAAGGCTGGTTGCTATGACTACCATAATAATTAAACTAATGCAGGTGTGCAAAAGTTTGTTTTAGTGACTGTGTGACTACACGAATTGTAATTAGTTAATTGATGAATAATGCATAATGATGTTATTCGTGATGTTGCACCGCACGGCCCCGTCACTATAGCAACCGTCGCGCAACGGGAATTCACCACTTGCGTGCGGCGCGACGGCATTTGTCTGAAGATCTCACCAGAGCGGCTAACGGGTCACAGAATGAGGGAGGAAGAGAAAGTGCTCTAAAATAACCTGTCAAATATATTGAAATGACAAGTAAGTGCGTTCTAGATTACTGAACTCATGCATACCTATCTTCAGCACAACCAGGGGTCTTCACAAGATTAAGAGAGCCCCCTGTAGTTCCAACAGCTACTACATCAACTACTTGAAGAGTATGTTTTCCTTTATGTATACTAAAATATTTTCTCAGAAAATACTCTCGGATAGATTTCATGCCGGCACCTAGAACGTTCACAAAAATTAAAATACAGTGCTTCTATTTTAGTACGCGTTTCTCCTGCATTTGATGTAAAATAAATCTTTATATGAATTATAATATTTTTGATCTGTATTATCTCCGAAATTTAGCTTATGACAAGAAATATTGGCAGAAATTACAATGAAGTTTTTAATATTTAGTTATTTGTTTTAGGGAAAGATTAGACTTGGGCGTTGTTTTTAACTATCCCTTGTTTAGAACTTTGATTTAATACTAATAGTTCCTCCCGTACCTCGCTGCTCGCGATCATTTTCTTAATAAAATGTTTCCCTCCCAAAAGTAGTTTCAGAAATCAGCCAAGATTTCAAACAAGGCCTTTCAAACAGGGCCTTTTAAACAGAGCCTTTCAAACAGGGCCTTTCGGATGGGCCTTTTAAACAGGGCCTCCCAAACAGAGCCCTTTCAAGTTAATTATAATATCGATCCTTTTATTTTAAGGTAATTGGTTTGCAAACATGTAAAACTCCAGCAATCCTAAAACTTTGTCTAAGGATTGAGAAGGTGGTTAGTACCTGACAGTGTTAATATTAGAGAATTAGGTGAGATGAACAAAATTAAACCTTATTGAGAGAGCTTGAAATGATATTTTATATCATCAAGATCGCTTTGTTTCACGAATTTCATTGTTGATGTCTCTGCAATTTTTACGTTTTTTCAAGTCAGCACTATCATCAAATTAAAATGAACATTTTGGTACTCGATAAAAGGCATACCCACAAGAACCAGTATGATCCTACCTACCTGCTATGCCGAGAAGCATTTCGTTTAAAAGTTATAGTCGTTTTGCAGAGTTACAGAATAATAGCCACTGACGACGACACAGATACGTATACTACGTATTATATACGTATTATATACGTATTATACACGTAATATAAGGGGTGTGAAGAGATTTCAGGTTACAAGGCAAGAAACAAAATAAAACAATCTGTAGCACAGTACGCACAAAATGTATACATATAACAAAATGGGTATTACAAGTACAACCAAGATTTTACCCGTACCAATCTTTCCATCCTATCATCACACGAAAAAGTAATTTTCAGTGCACAAATTGCTAATTTAAATGATAATTGATATGACTATTCTTACTCTTAGGCAAATTATTGCGTTCTTTAATACAACTGTGTGGTATAATATTCCGTTAAGAAATTTGTATTTGAAATAGTTCCAGGTCGATTTTGTGTATCATTTTTGTATAATTTTTCAATTCTAAAAAATATCAAAATACTAATTGTTAAAAACTCTTTTCCTTACAAGATTCACTATAAAAGTTATTAGCATAATAGCAATACAAAAATGCTGTTCCGCTTTCTTAAACTACAAAAAGACTTTTGCTATAGTAACGCGTGTGTTGCTAAAGTAACGCGTGTGTTGCTATAGTAACGCGTGTGTGTTGTTATAGTAACGCGTGTGTGTTGCTATAGTAACGCGCGTGTTGCTATAGTGACGAGTGTGTTGACATGGTTACAATGTACCAACAGCTGCTCGTATAGCGCTAACGTCCATGTGGAACGCTGGTTTTCCTTCTTGAACACTAAAAAGCTTTCTCTGGAAGTACTCTCTGATGCAACTCATACCTGCATCTGAAAAAGATAGAGGAGGTTAGTTCTACAGTTTAATAGGTAGGGAGAAGTTAGTTCTACAGTTTAATATGTAGGGAGAGGTTAGTTCTACAGTTTAATAGGTAGAGGAGGTTAGTTCTAAGGTTCTACAGTTTAATAGGTAGGGAGAGGTTAGTTCTACAGTTTAATAGGTAGATAGAGGTTAGTTTTACAGTCTAATAGGTATATGTTAGTTCTACAGTTTAAAAGGTAGGGAGAGGTTAGTTTTACAGTTTAATAGGTAGGGAGAGGTTAGTTCTACAGTTTAATAGGTAGGGAGAGGTTAGTTCTACAGTTTAATAGGGAGAGGTTAGTTCTACAGTTTAATAGGTAGGGAGAGGTTAGTTCTACAGTTTAATAGGTAGGGAGAGGTTAGTTCTACAGTTTAATAGGTAGGGAGAGGTTAGTTCTACAGTTTAATAGGTAGGGAGAGGTTAGTTCTACAGTTTAATAGGTAGATAGAGGTTAGTTTTACAGTTTAATAGGTATATGTTAGTTCTACAGTTTAAAAGGTAGAGAGAGGTTAGTTTTACAGTTTAATAGGTAGGGAGAGGTTAGTTTTACAGTTTAATAGGTAGGGAGAGGTTAGTTCTACAGTTTAATAGGTAGGGAGAGATTAGTTTTACAGTTTAAAAGGTAGGGAGAGGTTAGTTCTACAGTTTAATAGGTAGGGAGAGGTTAGTTCTACAGTTTAATAGGTAGGGAGAGGTTAGTTCTACAGTTTAATAGGTATATGTTAGTTCTACACGTATATCTAAATACAACATTCGTCTGATACGAAACTTTTTGAGATATTTTAGCCTAAATTACGAGTTAAGTTTAAATCAAGTTGAGTTAAAGCTTTAAAATAGGTGATGAAACTAAGGCTGGTTGCTATGACTACCATAATAATTAAACTAATGCAGGTGTGCAAAAGTTTGTTTTAGTGACTGTGTGACTACACGAATTGTAATTAGTTAATTGATGAATAATGCATAATGATGTTATTCGTGATGTTGCACCGCACGGCCCCGTCACTATAGCAACCGTCGCGCAACGGGAATTCACCACTTGCGTGCGGCGCGACGGCATTTGTCTGAAGATCTCACCAGAGCGGCTAACGGGTCACAGAATGAGGGAGGAAGAGAAAGTGCTCTAAAATAACCTGTCAAATATATTGAAATGACAAGTAAGTGCGTTCTAGATTACTGAACTCATGCATACCTATCTTCAGCACAACCAGGGGTCTTCACAAGATTAAGAGAGCCCCCTGTAGTTCCAACAGCTACTACATCAACTACTTGAAGAGTATGTTTTCCTTTATGTATACTAAAATATTTTCTCAGAAAATACTCTCGGATAGATTTCATGCCGGCACCTAGAACGTTCACAAAAATTAAAATACAGTGCTTCTATTTTAGTACGCGTTTCTCCTGCATTTGATGTAAAATAAATCTTTATATGAATTATAATATTTTTGATCTGTATTATCTCCGAAATTTAGCTTATGACAAGAAATATTGGCAGAAATTACAATGAAGTTTTTAATATTTAGTTATTTGTTTTAGGGAAAGATTAGACTTGGGCGTTGTTTTTAACTATCCCTTGTTTAGAACTTTGATTTAATAGTTCCTCCCGTACCTCGCTGCTCGCGATCATTTTCTTAATAAAATGTTTCCCTCCCAAAAGTAGTTTCAGAAATCAGCCAAGAAATCTTGACAATTCCAACGATCTCATCAACGTACGAAAGATTCGTCAGATAATTTTTAAATGAATAAAAATATTAGTAACTGATCGGTAAACTGTTGTCAAGCTTTAAGAAGTGTTTTTCTCGAAAGTTTGCACCCTAGATTTTTAGCCAAGGTGACTTTATGCCTCAAGGCATAACAAAGCATTGGACCCAAGATCAACGTATCCAGAACCTCAGGGGGAGGGGGGGACCTCAGGATGAAAACAGTTAGCCCCGAAACACTGTGGCCTACAGAAATTCAAGATTAAGCGAAGGAAGTGATACTTTTACTTTCAATGTCGCGGGAGCACGCAATTTTTGGGCACAACGCCTTGGCGCAGGAATTTACTGATAAATGAAAATCGAAATGTAAGCATTTTTATTTACAGCTCGATATTTTTTTCGAAAAATGATTTCAAACCAGGAAATGCTCGATTACAGAAATGAGTGTTCTCAAAAAACTCTTTTTTTTGTGTGTGGGAATGATGCTTAAAACGATCACTGAACTTTCTGTGAAGTCACTCGACCTGGACGACACTAAACCCTGTTTTGGTGTATAATATACAGTATATATGGGTCCTTAATAGTTGTATTACATTTTTTGGTTAAATTTTCTATCCCAAAAATAACAGATGGAGATCGATATTGACAACAGTAGAAGTGTGTTGCTATGGTGATGTGAGTTTAACAAACCTATTATAGTATTATTAGGGTCCTCCATGGGATTGTTGGTACACTCAATAATGGAAATCTTGGAAAGTCGGACAATCTCCGCTGGCAGAGCAGATACTCCGTTATCAGCAAACCTGAACTCCTGGAATATGTGTTAGCTAGTATTGGCAGAGCAGACACTCCGTTATCAGCAAACCTGAACTCCTGGAATATGTGTTATTTAGTATTGGCAGAGCAGACACTCCGTTATCAGCAAACCTGAACTCCTGGAATATGTGTTATTTAGTATTGGCAGAGCAGACACTCCGTTATCAGCAAACCTGAACTCCTGGAATATGTGTTAGCTAGTATTGGCAGAGCAGACACTCCGTTATCAGCAAACCTGAACTCCTGGAATATGTGTTAGCTAGTATTGGCAGAGCAGACACTCCGTTATCAACAAACCTGAACTCCTGGAATATGTGTTATTTAGTATTGGCAGAGCAGACACTCCGTTATCAGCAAACCTGAACTCCTGGAATATGTGTTATTTAGTATTGGCAGAGCAGACACTCCGTTATCAGCAAACCTGAACTCCTGGAATATGTGTTATTTAGTATTGGCAGAGCAGACACTCCGTTATCAGCAAACCTGAACTCCTGGAATATGTGTTATTTAGTATTGGCAGAGCAGACACTCCGTTATCAGCAAACCTGAACTCCTGGAATATGTGTTATTTAGTATTGGCAGAGCAGACACTCCGTTATCAGCAAACCTGAACTCCTGGAATATGTGTTATTTAGTATTGGCAGAGCAGACACTCCGTTATCAGCAAACCTGAACTCCTGGAATATGTGTTAGCTAGTATTGGCAGAGCAGACACTCCGTTATCAACAAACCTGAACTCCTGGAATATGTGTTAGCTAGTATTGGCAGAGCAGACACTCCGTTATCAGCAAACCTGAACTCCTGGAATATGTGTTATTTAGTATTGGCAGAGCAGACACTCCGTTATCAGCAAACCTGAACTCCTGGAATATGTGTTAGCTAGTATTGGCAGAGCAGACACTCCGTTATCAGCAAACCTGAACTCCTGGAATATGTGTTATTTAGTATTGGCAGAGCAGACACTCCGTTATCAGCAAACCTGAACTCCTGGAATATGTGTTATTTAGTATTGGCAGAGCAGACACTCCGTTATCAGCAAACCTGAACTCCTGGAATATGTGTTATTTAGTATTGTAACTTGTTTTATTATAATACTAAAATAAAATAAATATTGTTTGTTTGGGGACCAGTTTTTGGTACACCGGCCAATGTTTAAAAATCATCAATCAAAAAACAAATTAATCAAAAAATATTAGTAAAAGTAAAAGTACAGAAAGCATAATCTTGTTTCTCAAGGAGGAAGCAACTTACGGACAAATTGACCATCCCGTAGATAGTGGTGGGTAGTTTATCAAACGTGTTCCTGTTCAATATCAGACTCTGCAACAGGATAACTAGTCGTTATGGTAACAGGATAACTAGTTGTTATGGCAACATGATAACTAGTTGTTATGGTAACAGGATAACTAGTTGTTATGGTAACAGGATAACTAGTTGTTATGGTAACAGGATAACTAGTTGTTATGGTAACAGGATAACTAGTTGTTATGGTAACAGGATAACTAGTTGTTATGGTAACAGGATAACTAGTCGTTATGGTAACAGGATAACTAGTTGTTATGGCAACAGGATAACTAGTTGTTATGGTAACAGGATAACTAGTTGTTATGGTAACAGGATAACTAGTTGTTATGGTAACAGGATAACTAGTTGTTATGGTAACAGGATAACTAGTCGTTATGGTAACAGGATAACTTGTTGTTATGGCAACAGGATAACTAGTTGTTATGGCAACAGGATAACTAGTTGTTATGGTAACATGATAACTAGTTGTTATGGTAACAGGATAACTAGTTGTTATGGTAACAGGATAACTAGTTGTTATGGCAACAGGATAACTAGTTGTTATGGCAACAGGATAACTTGTTGGTATGGCAACAGGATAACTAGTTGTTATGGTAACAGGATAACTAGTTGTTAGGGTAACAGGATAACTAGTTGTTATGGTAACATGATAACTAGTAGTTATGGTAACAGGATAACTAGTAGTTATGGTAACATGATAACTAGTAGTTATGGTAACAGGATAACTAGTTGTTATGGTAACAGGATAACTTGTATTATATTAATCATCAATAATTAAATATTTAATTAGAGTGTCACATAGGTAGGTAGGTTCATCGTCCAATATTTAATAAAGTAAAACATTGATCCGATAATGTACGAAAGAGCACTATAAGATCTTAACACATATCTTTATAAACTCTGAATACCTGAACGTTTCTAAGTTTGCCAATGTCACTAGGGATGGAGGAGATGTGACAGTCTGATATGTCGATGTACTGGAGGGACACAGTTTCACACAGAGAGAGGGGCAAGTCTCTAAACTGGTTATGTGACAGGTCCACTATGAGGAGGTTACTGAGGGTTGAGAACCTGGCGGGAAGTTCTCTCAGACTGTTCTCTCTCAGATTCAGCACCTGTGTATTATCAGGGTAGTTGTTATGGTAACCTAGATATTATCAGGGTAGTTGTTATGGTAACCTGGGTATTATCAGGGTAGTTGTTAGGGTAACCTGGGTATTATCAGGGTAGTTGTTAGGGTAACCTGGATATTATCAGGGTAGTTGTTATGGTAACCTGGATATTATCAGGGTAGTTGTTATGGTAACCTGGATATTATCAGGGTAGTTGTTATGGTAACCTGGGTATTATCAGGGTAGTTGTTATGGTAACCTGGATATTATCAGGGTAGTTGTTATGGTAACCTGGATAATATCAGAGTAGTTGTTATGGTAACCTGGGTATTATCAGGGTAGTTGTTATGGTAACCTGGATATTATCAGGGTAGTTGTTATGGTAACCTGGATATTATCAGGGTAGTTGTTATGGTAACCTGGGTATTATCAGGGTAGTTGTTATGGTAACCTGGATATTATCAGAGTAGTTGTTATGGTAACCTGGATATTATCATGGTAGTTGTTAGGGTAACCTGGATATTATCATGGTAGTTGTTATGGTAACCTGGATATTATCAGGGTAGTTGTTATGGTAACCTGGGTATTATCAGGGTAGTTGTTATGGTAACCTGGATATTATCAGGGTAGTTGTTATGGTAACCTGGATATTATCAGGGGTAGTTGTTATGGTAACCTGGATATTATCAGGGTAGTTGTTAGGGTAACCTGGATATTATCAGGGTAGTTGTTAGGGTAACCTGGATATTATCAGGGTAGTTGTTAGGGTAACCTGGATATTATCAGGGTAGTTGTTATGGTAACCTGGATATTATCAGGGTAGTTGTTATGGTAACCTGGATATTATCAGGGTAGTTGTTATGGTAACCTGGATATTATCAGGGTAGTTGTTATGGTAACCTGGATATTATCAGGGTAGTTGTTATGGTAACCTGGATATTATCAGGGTAGTTGTTATGGTAACCTGGATATTATCAGGGTAGTTGTTAGGGTAACCTGGATATTATAAGGGTAGTTGTTAGGGTAACCTGGATAATATCAGGGTAGTTGTTATGGTAACCTGGATATTATCAGGGTAGTTGTTAGGGTAACCTGGATATTATCAGGGTAGTTGTTAGGGTAACTAATAGTTACTAACTAGTATCTAGTTGTTTTAGCTGAGAACCTGCAAGAAGTTAAGGCTGGTTACAGTTTCTAGCCCTGCTCCAATCGTAATGAACTCTGTACTGTATAACTATAGCAACCCCCCCCCCTCCACACTGATCTGCAGGTTTGCAACTATAGCAACCCCCCCACACTGATATGCAGGTTTGTAACTATAGCAACCACCCACACTGATCTGCAGGTTTGTAACTATAGCAACCACCCACACTGATCTGCAGGTTTGTAACTATAGCAACCCCCCACACTGACCTGCAGGTTTGTAACTATAGCAACCCCCCACACTGACCTGCAGGTTTGCAACTACAGCAACCCCCCCCCCACACTGATCTGCAGGTTTGTAACTATAGCAACCCCCCCCCACACTGATATGCAGGTTTGTAACTATAGCAACCACCCACACTGATCTGCAGGTTTGTAACTATAGTAACCACCCACACTGATATGCAGGTTTGTAACTATAGCAACCCCCCACACTGACCTGCAGGTTTGTAAGGTCACAGATCTTGTCTGGGATCCACTTGAGTCCGTTACCGGAACACTGCAACTCCCGGATACAGTTCAACTTTAATATCTCCTCCGGAAATACCTGTTAGAGCGCTGTATTTTATACGTTCGTTTAATATCTAAAAGGAATATGAATAATGAATATGCCTCTTAAAATAAATAAGAGGAAATTACCATTTCCAATTCTCATAAAGCTTGTACAATTTAAAACGCAGCTCGTATATAGTATGTATAGTAACAGTTTATAGTAACAGTACTAGCTCGTACGGATAAGTTGTTGTTGCTGATGTTCAGTGTTCGGAGGTTGTAAAGCCACTCAAAGGTTTCAGGCAGCTTGTGGAGTGCGAGTTTGTTGATGCTGAGATCTCTCATTCCATACAACTGTCCAATACTATCCGGCAACCCAACGAACCTGAATATGATCGTGAGGTAGAGAGTATATAATACACTAATATATATATATATATATATATATATATGTAGAGAGTATATAATAAACTAATATATAAGTTGAGAGAATTAACATTTAAGTTGAGAGTTTGACTGTATCTATATAGCTATATGTAGAATTGTAGATTGTATATTAAAGGCCCCAAAACACTTGACTAGCAATAATTCACCCGTTGCTACCGACAAAACACTTGACTAGTAATAATTTACCCGTTGCTACCGACAAAACACTTGACTAGCAATAATTTACCCGTTTAATTGCTTCCGACAAAACACTTGACTAGCAATAATTTACCCGTTGCTACCGACAAAACACTTGACTAACAATAATTTACCCGTTGCTTCCGATTCGTAGATCGTCTAGCTCAGCTGCTAAAGGTAACACTTCAGGGAAGTTATCTATCTTGTTGCCCTCCAGCCACAGCCTGTCCAGGTACTTCAACTGTCCTGAATAATAGATACTATACAGGGTGTACAATGTACACTGTACATGTAACAATGCATCTCATGCATACAAAAGCAAAACCTTGCAATCCTTAGCTCCTTGATTCAAACATACATATATATATATACTTTCAACACTACTATATAACAAATAATTTGAGGATGACTGTAAAGGTACATTTTACCGACATTTGAAGTCAAGGCGTTGTTTTACTGATAGTTGTGGCTAACTAATAATATATATATATATATATACAACTACGAGCTAGGCACATGTAAGGATTACACAGGATTACACGTCATGTAAGTGATCATAACCTATATATATATACATTACCTAAATATATATTACCTATATCTAGTAGTGTAACTATGGTTACCTATATATATTACCTATATCTAGTAGTGTAACTATGGTAACTAGTAGTGTAACTATGGTTACCTATATATATATTACCTATATCATCAGCAACCTCCTCGATCTCATTGAAGCTGAGACTGATCATCCTTAATCCCTGTATCTTGTGTATGCAGGTCGGTACAAACTTAAAAGCGTTCTTCTCAAGTCCAAGCACCTGCAAAGAGCTGTTAGTTTAAATCACTAAAATTACACAATAAATATCCTAATCTCTTTATAAATATGTAAATAAATCACCCAGTAAACACTAGAAATATACAGCTCTACCAGCAAAGAAAGAAGAGTTCATGTTTTATATAGTTAAAAGCGTTCTTCTCAAGGCCTAGCACCTGAAGAGTTGTTAGTTTAAACTACTAAAATAACACAAGAAATATCCTAATCTCTTTATATACTTTTATAAATCACCCAGTAAACACTATAAATATACAACTCTACCAGCAAAGAAAGTAGAGTTCATATTTTATATAGTTGCTATGACTACCATACTAATGGTAAAGTTGAAGGCAGCTCAGTTGGATCCTACCTCCAGAGTGGATATAGCCTCCATAGACGAAGGTAGTCCTCGTAGCTTGTTCTGACTGAGGATCAGGATCACCAGGTTCATAAACTCGCCCATGTTCTCCGGCAGTGCCATCAGCTCGTTACCGTGCAGGTTCAGTATCTGGGAGCTGTTAGTTAACTTGTTACCGTGCAGGTTCAGTATCTGGGAGCTGTTAGTTATAACTTGTTACCGTGCAGGTTCAGTATCTGGGAGCTGTTTTGTCACGGTTAGTTATAACTTCTGCATCACTTCATGTCTTATTATATAATATTCTTCATGTCTTATTATATATTAATGTCTTAGCCAATATTAAATGTTTGAGAAGGTTTAGTTTAAAGAAAAAACCTCCAGTCCCTCCATGAGCGGCAGCTCGTCAGGTATTTTAGTGAGCTTGTTGTTTCTCACAGATAGGCGTCTGATACTGTGACACCGTGACAGAAACTCCGGCAGCTCTGTCAGCAAGTTTCCGTCCAGATAAAGGGTCTTGAGGCACCGCAACTGCTCCAACTCTTTGGGGAGCTCTTTGAGCTTGTTCCTGGCGACGCTCAAACACTCAATGTGCCGCATGTTCACAATTGCGGGAGGTAGCTCTGTCAGCCTGTTCGCGCTCATGTCTAAAATCTGAAGAAATGTTAACTCAAACAGTGTAGTTTTAAAACTAGTCGTGGGTAACTATGGGTAACTATGAAATAACCAATCCAAGCACTGTCGATAAAGGTTTCCAATCCTGTCTTATCTATTCCACAACACATAAAACTGACGAATAACAGCTAGCTGGTATCTCGCCTTGAGGAAGGGGAGCTGGCACTCACCTTGAGGAAGGGGAGCTGGTACTCACCTTGAGGAAGGGGAGCTGGCACTCACCTTGAGGAAGGGGAGCTGGTACTCACCTGGAGGAAGGGGAGCTGGTACTCACCTTGAGGAAGGGGAGCTGGTACTCACCTCGAGGAAGGGGAGCTGGTACTCACCTGGAGGAAGTGGAGCTGGTACTCACCTTGAGGCAGGGGAGCTGGCACTCACCTTGAGGAAGTGGAGCTGGTACTCACCTTGAGGCAGGGGAGCTGGCACTCACCTTGAGGCAGGGGAGCTGGTACTCACCTTGAGGAAGGGGAGCTGGGACTCACCTTGAGGAAGTGGAGCTGGTACTCACCTTGAGGAAGGGGAGCTGGTACTCACCTTGAGGAAGTGGAGCTGGTACTCACCTTGAGGAAGGGGAGCTGGTACTCACCTTGAGGAAGGGGAGCTGGTACTCACCTTGAGGAAGGGGAGCCGGTACTCACCTTGAGGAAGGGGAGCTGGCACTCACCTTGAGGAAGGGGAGCTGGTACTCACCTCGAGGAAGGGGAGCTGGTACTCACCTCGAGGAAGGGGAGCTGGCACTCACCTTGAGGAAGGGGAGCTGGTACTCACCTTGAGGAAGGGGAGCTGGTACTCACCTTGAGGAAGGGGAGCTGGTACTCACCTTGAGGAAGGGGAGCTGGTACTCACCTTGAGGAAGGGGAGCTGGTACTCACCTTGAGGAAGGGGAGCTGGTACTCACCTTGAGGAAGGGGAGCTGGTACTCACCTTGAGGAAGGGGAGCTGGCACTCACCTTGAGGAAGGGGAGCTGGTACTCACCTCGAGGAAGGGGAGCTGGTACTCACCTTGAGGAAGGGGAGCTGGCACTCACCTTGAGGAAGGGGAGCTGGTACTCACCTCGAGGAAGGGGAGCTGGTACTCACCTTGAGGAAGGGGAGCTGGTACTCACCTTGAGGAAGGGGAGCTGGTATTTACCTTGAGAAAGGGGAGCTGGTACTCGCCTTGAGGAAGGGGAGCTGGTATTTACCTTGAGAAAGGGGAGCTGGTACTCACCTTGAGGAAGGGGAGCTGGCACTCACCTTGAGTAAGGGGAGCTGGTATTTACCTTGAGAAAGGGGAGCTGGCACTCACCTTGAGGAAGGGGAGCTGGTACTCACCTTGAGGAAGGGGAGCTGGCACTCACCTTGAGGAAGGGGAGCTGGTACTCACCTTGAGTAAGGGGAGCTGGCACTCACCTTGAGGAAGGGGAGCTGGCACTCACCTTGAGTAAGGGGAGCTGGTATTTACCTTGAGAAAGGGGAGCTGGTACTCGCCTTGAGGAAGGGGAGCTGGTATTTACCTTGAGAAAGGGGAGCTGGTACTCACCTTGAGGAAGGGGAGCTGGCACTCACCTTGAGTAAGGGGAGCTGGTATTTACCTTGAGAAAGGGGAGCTGGCACTCACCTTGAGGAAGGGGAGCTGGTACTCACCTTGAGGAAGGGGAGCTGGTACTCACCTTGAGGAAGGGGAGCTGGCACTCACCTTGAGGCAGGGGAGCTGGTACTCACCTTGAGGAAGGGGAGCTGGTACTCACCTCGAGGAAGGGGAGCTGGTACTCACCTTGAGGAAGGGGAGCTGGCACTCACCTTGAGGAAGGGGAGCTGGTACTCACCTTGAGGAAGGGGAGCTGGTACTCACCTTGAGGAAGGGGAGCTGGTACTCACCTGGAGGAAGGGGAGCTGGTACTCACCTTGAGGAAGGGGAGCTGGTACTCACCTCGAGGAAGGGGAGCTGGTACTCACCTTGAGGAAGGGGAGCTGGTACTCACCTTGAGGAAGGGGAGCTGGTATTTACCTTGAGAAAGGGGAGCTGGTACTCGCCTTGAGGAAGGGGAGCTGGTATTTACCTTGAGAAAGGGGAGCTGGTACTCACCTTGAGGAAGGGGAGCTGGCACTCACCTTGAGTAAGGGGAGCTGGTATTTACCTTGAGAAAGGGGAGCTGGCACTCACCTTGAGGAAGGGGAGCTGGTACTCACCTTGAGGAAGGGGAGCTGGCACTCACCTTGAGGAAGGGGAGCTGGTACTCACCTTGAGGAAGGGGAGCTGGTACTCACCTTGAGGAAGGGGAGCTGGCACTCACCTTGAGGAAGGGGAGCTGGTACTCACCTCGAGGAAGGGGAGCTGGTACTCACCTCGAGGAAGGGGAGCTGGTACTCACCTTGAGGAAGGGGAGCTGGTACTCACCTTGAGGAAGGGGAGCTGGTACTCACCTCGAGGAAGGGTAGCTGGCACTCACCTCGAGGAAGGGGAGCTGGTACTCACCTTGAGGAAGGGGAGCTGGTACTCACCTTGAGGAAGGGGAGCTGGTACTCACCTCGAGGAAGGGGAGCTGGCACTCACCTCGAGGAAGGGTAGCTGGCACTCACCTCGAGGAAGGGGAGCTGGTACTCACCTTGAGGAAGGGGAGCTGGTACTCACCTTGAGGAAGGGGAGCTGGTACTCACCTCGAGGAAGTGGAGCTGGTACTCACCTTGAGGCAGGGGAGCTGGCACTCACCTTGAGGAAGGGGAGCTGGCACTCACCTTGAGTAAGGGGAGCTGGTACTCACCTTGAGGAAGGGGAGCTGGTACTCACCTTGAGGAAGGGGAGCTGGCACTCACCTTGAGGAAGGGGAGCTGGCACTCACCTTGAGTAAGGGGAGCTGGTATTTACCTTGAGAAAGGGGAGCTGGTACAGTTGATTAGGTATCTGAGAGAAAGTGTTCCCGTACAATTTACCGTGTTCCATTACTCGACCTGAAAGAAGTCATTTATTACAGTGAATAAAAATCCCATAGTTACCATAGTTACACTACTAGTTACCATAGTTACACTACTAGCTACCATAATTACCATAGTTACACTACTAGTTACCATAGTTACACTACTAGCTACCATAGTTACACTACTAGTTACCATAGTTACACTACTAGCTACCATAGTTACACTACTAGTTACCATAGTTACACTACTAGCTACCATAGTTACACTACTAGTTACCATAGTTACACTACTAGCTACCATAGTTACACTACTAGTTACCATAGTTACACTACTAGCTACCATAGTTACACTACTATTTACAGTGAATATAAATCCAACTCTGTTCCACTAATAGGTTCACATTTTAAAAGCTCAGTGGAATGAGGAAGGAGGCTGACTGATGATATGGTTGCAGTGACTGTTTGTTGAGTCACCTAGTGGTCGCTTAGCAACCTAGTGGTCGCTTAGCAACGTAAGCCTTAACAAACAACCCCACAATGGTAATGATCATAATTTGCATCTGCTCCACTATTGGCAGCAATGATTTGTTCTATCGCTCATGAAACTATTCGATTACCCAATTTCGATTGATTAAATTGTTGTTAAAATGATTTTATTGGTCACCCCCTGGAAACTAAAAAACTCAAAATTAGTTTGTTTTATGGTTTATTTGTTGTTTATTAAAATAGCATTCTACTCACCGATGTAAACCTCCTGTAGGTGAATCAGTAGTTCAATATTGTCCAGTGATTCCAGTTTGTTCCTAGACAGGTCTATCCACTGAAAGGAGATTATGAGAAGTGAAATTTAAGTGAAATTTAAGTGAAATTTAAGTGAAATTTAAGTGAAACTTAAGTGAAATTTAAACAACCTGTCATCATATCCACAAAAATTCTAGAAAGTAATTAAAAGAAATATTGTCTCATCCCAACTATTAGCGATACTTTTCTTTCTTGTTCCCATGTTGATTGTTGATAATAAGATAACATTTTACTTCAATTATCAATAGTATAGTTGATATTGTTGATATTGTTGATATCGTTGATATCGTTGATATCGTTGATATCGTTGATATCGTTGATATCGTTGATATCGTTGATATCGTTGATATCGTTGATATCGTTGATATCGTTGATATCGTTGATATCGTTGATATTGTTGATATCGTTGATATTGTTGATATTGTTGATGTTGTTGATATTGTTGATATTGTTGATATTGTTGATATTGTTGATATTGTTGATATTGTTGATATTGTTGATATTGTTGATATTGTTGATATTGTTGATATTGTTGATATTGTTGATATTGTTGATATTGTTGATATTGTTGATATTGTTGATATTGTTGATATTGTTGATATTGTTGATATTGTTGATGTTGTTGATGTTGTTGATATTGTTGATATTGTTGATATTGTTGATATTGTTGATATTGTTGATGTTGTTGATGTTGTTGATATTGTTGATATTGTTGATATTGTTGATGTTGTTGATATTGTTGATATTGTTGATATTGTTGATATTGTTGATATTGTTGATATTGTTGATATTGTTGATATTGTTGATATTGTTGATATTGTTGATATTGTTGATATTGTTGATATTATTGATATTGTTGATATTGTTGATATTGTTGATATTGTTGAAAGTTTAATAACATTTTACTACAGTAACATAGTGTTCTAACCGTACACTGCTGCATGTCACTATTGTAACATATCTCCTCCGGAATTGATGTTAACTTCTTCAGCCCCAGACCTATGCCTATCTTACCATCACTACGCTCCTTTATTGATACCTGCATTTTACCTGAGACAGGGTGAATGTTAGTTATTATAGCAAACATCTGGGGTATTGCTCATGAACTAAACTTATTGTATCCTCAATTTAACTTGAAATCTGAGCTTGCTATGTTAATTTAACAATTTGTATAGTAGTTACCCATAGTTACCCATAGTTACCCATAATTACCCATAGTTACCCATAACTACCCATAATTACCCATAACTACCCATAATTACCCATATTTACCCATATTTACCTATAATTACCCATAGTTACCTATAGTTAACCATAATTACCCATATTTACCCATATTTACCTATAGTTACCCATAGTTACCCATAGTTACCCATAGTTACCCACAATTACCCTTAGTTACCCAAAGTTACCCAAAGTTACCCAAAGTTACCCATAGTTACCCATAGTTACCCATAGTTGAAGTAAGCACACTTCTAGATGACAGGTTCCTGTAAGGTAACAAATCGTTTTTGAGAACTGTAAAGTTGTCGAATATGTGAGTTTCCTTCATTCTGTACAACATGTCAACCTGTGTCATCTGAAAAAGAGAGCTGCAGGGGGGGGGGGGGGGTGGGGTTACACTATAGTTAGAGAGACAGGGGGGGGGGGGGCTGAAAGAGAGACAGGGTAGTGTGTTTTGGTATTCGGTGCTTGCTTTCAGTTCAGGTGTATTTGATATAGAACTAGAAGTACTTACAGTTTAGGTAAAGCCCCCCCCCCCCCCCTGTAGCTCCACTGTGTAGTTTACCCCCCCCCCCTGTAGCTCCACTTATATATCTTTTAAAAACTTAATTATCATCCTTGCTTCGACATGCTACTAATCTATAACTACACACAATATTATACTATATACTACTACATACTTCCTATATTGGAGTTCATTATAAGATTATAGTCAGGGTTACGTAATTCTCTGTCTCTCTTTGTAGTTAATAATATTGTTGCCATGGTAACACTAATCTTTAAAGAGGACAGATGGTATCACATTACATTCTTTCAGTTTGCTGCTTTCAACTTAGATTTGGGTTTTAGGACTTGCTGTTGTGATTTTTGTAGCACTGTTAACTCTACACTGAGTCTACAGTATTTGATAAGTTCTAAATAGGGGGGGGGGGGGGGGCTGAAAGAGAGACAGGGTTGTGTGTTTTGGTATTCTTGCCAAGGGGGGGGGGGGAGGGGGGGTCTGAAAGAGAGACAGGGTCGTATGTTTTGGTATTCTTGACAAGGGGGGGGGGGGGGGGGGGGGGGGGGGGAGAGGGGGTGTTTAGTGTTTACTATACCGATAGTTCGAGTACGCCCCCATCCTTGACCATGGGTTTAACTTTTAGATCACTAATTCTCTGAAGCCGTTCCATGTGATCCTTCACCTCCAGCTGGGAACGCCTCTGAAAGTTGGGCTGTGTGCTCTGTCCACTACCCATATCTCTATAAGTTATCAGTATTTACATTAATGTAAAGTGATCTACAACTCTACGAGTTATCAGTATTTACATTAATGTAAAGTGATCTACAACTCTATAAGTTATCAGTATTTACATTAATGTAAAGTGTTCTACAACTCTATAAGTTATCAGTATTTACATTAATGTAAAGTGTTCTACAACTCTATAAGTTATCAGTATTTACATTAATGTAAAGTGATATACAATTCTATAAGTTATCAGTTTAGGGTTATATTATACGGGTTCCTGCTAGTTAATGTAAAATGATGCGGGTGAAAACTAAATAGGTTTCCGGCTAGTTGCCAAGCAACTGATCTTGCAGTACGTAACCACTGGTACCACAAAATAATAAGCCTTTCCATCAACTCTAATTTAAACGCAGCTGTACTAAACAATAAAGAGTTCGATAACAGACACCACACACAAAGAAGAATACTGTATTAGTCACGCAATTATAACGAAGAGAAGTAATGCATATTAGTACGTCTCAACGAGGAGGCTTAATATCTGCTTGAAGATGTGCTCGCACTGCTTGCTACAATTAACTGCAACTCTCAAGACAATCAGAGCTTTTAACACACACCATTATCAGAGTGGTATAATATAGTGTATTCACATTCAAGCCATTATTGGAACTGTACATCTTTAAATTTGGTTGTGCTTATTAAAAATTTCATGGCAACAGCATCATCATCAAGAGGGTGTTTTTACTTAATCAGTCATGGCGCACTTAACTTAACTTAATTTGTGTTTGAGTACTGGGAGTCCGGAGCGTGATCGTGATCGTGACTGATGATTCCTTACTTGATAGTAGATTTAACAGTTGTTTACTTACTTTGGTTACTTTACTTTGGTTGTGTTTATCCTCGTAGCAGGAAGGGTCATCAGATTTCTGACCACCTCGATGGCGAGTAGTCTACCAGGGAATTAGACCAGCTGCAGCTATAACCGGAAGTCGGAGGGTTGTCCGGTATCAAAGCAATAAACTTGGACAAACTAACTTTAAACGACTCAAACGTAGCTTCAGCTTTAATATTATCAGGCACTTTGTTCCACAGTTTTGGTCCTCTTACAGCAAATGAGCTGTCATAGAGTGTCTGGTTGCTCGAGGAACTCAACCTAGACAGGGAAGGGATGATTGCTCGGGTACCATGTCTGGATGTTTTTGTGAACCTTATATTGCTGCAATTGGGGACAACATTGTGAAGGATCTTCCACATCATCAGAATAGTGTACCGTTCCCTTCTGCGCTGCAGCGACATTAGCTTTAGATGTGAAAGCCTCTCCCAGTAGTTCATATTTTCCAGACCGCATATACGATCGGTGAATGTTCGCTGGACCCCCTCCAAAAGCTGGATCTCAGTCACCTTAACAGGGTCCCACAGCGGACAACAGTACTCTAGTAGGCTTCTGACCAAAGACTTATATAGGGTAGTCATTACGGTCCTATCACGAGTTTTGAAGACACTAAACACCCATGACAGTGTGCTTCTAGCTTTCTTGACCATATTACCGATCTGTTTGGACCAGTTCAGATCGCTTGATACCATAACTCCGAGGTCTCTTACGTTCTCAACGGGATGTAGTATTTCCTCGCTGGAGACCTTGTAAAGTAGAGTTTCCACGTAAAAAGGGAGTTCAGAAAAGGTACTCTTTCTATTGTGGAGATGATTCAGGAGCTCAAACTTCTGTTCGTGGAGGTTCATGTTGTTGCAGCGTGACCAGTCGAGAATACCGTACAGATCAGCCTGAAGCAGCAGACAGTCCTCAAAGCAATCGATACGTTTGGAGACCCTAGTATCGTCAGCAAAGAAGCTTACCTTAGAAGAGGTAACAGCTAGCTCTAGATCGTTAATAAACAAAATGAACAATAGTGGTCCTAACACACTTCCCTGAGGGACACCACTTAGAACCCTGGCACTGTTCGAATGAACACCGTTTAGGACTACAACCTGTTCACGGTCAGAGAGAAATGACTGGATCCAGCTTAGAAGTTTGCCATGAAATCCGTATCTCTTTAACTTCAACAAGAGAAGGTCCAAGTCAACTTTATCAAACGCCTTGGCGAAGTCGAGGTATATAGAGTCTGTGTCTTTCCCCTGAGTAAACCCTTCAAAGATGTCATCAAAGTGATCGAGCATTTGGGTCAAGCAGCTTCTGTTCGATCTGAAACCATGTTGTTTGTCAGATAACAAATTGTTGGTTTCGAGATGCTGAACCATGTGTTTCCTAACCACTCTTTCATAGACTTTGACTACATGTGAGGTCAGAGTAACCGGTCTGTAGTTAGCAGCATCACACCTGCTACCTTTCTTGAAAAGCGGTGTGACATATCCAGTCTTGTAGAAACTTGGGACTATACCTGTATACATGGACTCAGACCAGAGGAGATGAATCGGAACACTCAAGCTTGAAGCACATCTTTTGAGGAGAATAGCAGGAATACCATCGGGTCCGGGTGCAGAGTCCAGCTTAATCTCAGATATAGCTTCCGCGATGTGGTTAGGTGTGAGTACCAGTTCTGTATCCCTACTAGTGAGAGGTGGTACTGTAAATGTAGGTAGTGACTTATCAGGGCAGTTGGGGTCACTAAAGACAGAACAGAACTGTTGCTGCAGTATATTAGCTAACTCTTTCCGTTCAGTTACCAGTTTCTTATCACGGTTTAGAAGAGTTGAAATATTGTGCTTAACTTTAGAAAAAGATTTAGCGTATGAGTAAAAGTATTTAGGATTGACTTTAATTTTATCCACTGCTCTCTTTTCACCTTTATCAAGATGGTGGACTATAGCTTCCTTGATCTCATAGCAAATTAATCCAATTTCGTCTTCAAGTTTCTTGATTCGAGCTAGGTCATTGGCACACTTTGCAGCAGAGAGACGGGTTTTAAGTCGTGACTTCTTCCTTCTCAGCGAATTATAAAGCTTCGGCTGGCCAGTTGGTGGTCGTTTCCGAGGAACATTTTCCAGGCATATATTAAGCACTGTCCGTGTAAACTCTGCGGGAAATTCTTCAAAAGTGCTTGCGTCTCTCAAGTCCTTCCAATTCACTCTGTTCAGGATCTCAGTAATCGGTTCGAAGTCTGCCCGATTAAAGTCTAGGGCTCGGAAGCTCATTTCGTCAAGATATGAAGCCTGAGTTTATTGTACAGATTATGTTCCTTACTTGATAGTAGATTTAACAGTTGTTTATTGTACAGATTATGTTCCTTACTTGATAGTAGATTTAACAGTTGTTTATTGTACAGATTATGTTCGGCCTCTGCAGAAAGATGAGGCGGGGTACGGAGGAGAGAGCTGACGACAAGCTGGTCACTACTGAGAAGTAAGTCAGATAATATCACGTGATATACGTAACTTACTTGATAATATCACGTGATATACGTAACTTACTTGATAATATCACGTGATATACGTTACTTACTTGATAATATCACGTGATATACGTTACTTACTTGATAATATCACGTGATATACGTTACTTACTTGATAATATCACGTGATATACGTTACTTACTTGATAATATCACGTGATATACGTTACTTACTTGATAATATTACGTGATATACGTTACTTACTTGATAATATCACGTGATATACGTTACTTACTTGATAATATTACGTGATATACGTTACTTACTTGATAATATCACGTGATATACGTTACTTACTTGATAATATCACGTGATATACGTTACTTTCTTGATAATATCACGTGATATACGTTACTTACTTGATAATATCACGTGATATACGTTACTTACTTGATAATATCACGTGATATACGTTACTTACTTGATAATATCACGTGATATACGTTACTTACTTGATAATATCACGTGATATACGTTACTTACTTGATAATATCACGTGATATACGTTACTTACTTGATAATATCACGTGATATACGTTACTTACTTGATAATATTACGTGATATACGTTACTTACTTGATAATATCACGTGATATACGTTACTTACTTGATAATATCACGTGATATACGTTACTTTCTTGATAATATCACGTGATATACGTTACTTACTTGATAATATCACGTGATATACGTTACTTACTTGATAATATCACGTGATATACGTAACTTACTTGATAATATCACGTGATATACGTTACTTACTTGATAATATCACGTGATATACGTTACTTACTTGATAATATCACGTGATATACGTTACTTACTTGATAATATCACGTGATATACGTTACTTACTTGATAATGTCACGTGATATACGTAACTTACTTGATAATATTACGTGATATACGTTACTTACTTGATAATATCACGTGATATACGTTACTTACTTGATAATATCACGTGATATACGTTACTTTCTTGATAATATCACGTGATATACGTTACTTACTTGATAATATCACGTGATATACGTTACTTACTTGATAATATCACGTGATATACGTAACTTACTTGATAATATCACGTGATATACGTTACTTACTTGATAATATCACGTGATATACGTTACTTACTTGATAATATCACGTGATATACGTTACTTACTTGATAATATCACGTGATATACGTTACTTACTTGATAATGTCACGTGATATACGTAACTTACTTGATAATATTACGTGATATACGTTACTTACTTGATAATATCACGTGATATACGTTACTTACTTGATAATATCACGTGATATACGTTACTTACTTGATAATATCACGTGATATACGTTACTTACTTGATAATATCACGTGATATACGTTACTTACTTGATAATATCACGTGATATACGTTACTTACTTGATAATATCACGTGATATACGTTACTTACTTGATAATATCACGTGATATACGTTACTTACTTGATAATATCACGTGATATACGTTACTTACTTGATAATATCACGTGATATACGTTACTTACTTGATAATATCACGTGATATACGTTACTTACTTGATAATATCACGTGATATACGTAACATACTTGATAATATCACGTGATATACGTTACTTACTTGATAATATCACGTGATATACGTTACTTACTTGATAATATTACGTGATATACGTTACTTACTTGATAATATCACGTGATATACGTTACTTACTTGATAATATTACGTGATATACGTTACTTACTTGATAATATCACGTGATATACGTTACTTACTTGATAATATCACGTGATATACGTTACTTTCTTGATAATATCACGTGATATACGTTACTTACTTGATAATATCACGTGATATACGTTACTTACTTGATAATATCACGTGATATACGTTACTTACTTGATAATATCACGTGATATACGTTACTTACTTGATAATATCACGTGATATACGTTACTTACTTGATAATATCACGTGATATACGTTACTTACTTGATAATGTCACGTGATATACGTTACTTACTTGATAATATCACGTGATATACGTTACTTACTTGATAATATCACGTGATATACGTTACTTACTTGATAATATCACGTGATATACGTTACTTTCTTGATAATATCACGTGATATACGTTACTTACTTGATAATATCACGTGATATACGTTACTTACTTGATAATATCACGTGATATACGTTACTTACTTGATAATATCACGTGATATACGTTACTTACTTGATAATATCACGTGATATACGTTACTTACTTGATAATATCACGTGATATACGTTACTTACTTGATAATATCACGTGATATACGTTACTTACTTGATAATGTCACGTGATATACGTAACTTACTTGATAATATTACGTGATATACGTTACTTACTTGATAATATCACGTGATATACGTTACTTACTTGATAATATCACGTGATATACGTTACTTACTTGATAATATCACGTGATATACGTTACTTACTTGATAATATCACGTGATATACGTTACTTACTTGATAATATCACGTGATATACGTTACTTACTTGATAATATCACGTGATATACGTTACTTACTTGATAATATCACGTGATATACGTAACTTACTTGATAATATCACGTGATATACGTTACTTACTTGATAATATCACGTGATATACGTTACTTACTTGATAATATCACGTGATATACGTAACATACTTGATAATATCACGTGATATACGTTACTTACTTGATAATATCACGTGATGTACGTTACTTACTTGATAATATCACGTGATATACGTTACTTACTTGATAATATCACGTGATATACGCTACTTACTTGATAATATTACGTGATATACGTAACTTACTTGATAATATCACGTGATATACGTTACTTACTTGATAATATCACGTGATATACGTTACTTACTTGATAATATCACGTGATATACGTTACTTACTTGATCATATCACGTGATATACGTTACTTACTTGATAATATCACGTGATATACGTTACTTACTTGATAATATCACGTGATATACGTTACTTACTTGATAATATCACGTGATATACGTTACTTACTTGATAATATCACGTGATATACGTTACTTATTTGATAATATCACGTGATATACGTTACTTACTTGATAATATCACGTGATATACGTTACTTACTTGATAATATCACGTGATATACGTTACTTACTTGATAATATCACGTGATATACGTTACTTACTTGATAATATCACGTGATATACGTTACTTTCTTGATAATATCACGTGATATACGTAACTTACTTGATAATATCACGTGATATACGTTCCTTACTTGATAATATCACGTGATATACGTTACTTACTTGATAATATCACGTGATATACGTTACTTACTTGATAATATTACGTGATATACGTTACTTACTTGATAATATCACGTGATATACGTTACTTACTTGATAATATCACGTGATATACGTTACTTACTTGATAATATCACGTGATATACGTTACTTACTTGATAATATCACGTGATATACGTTACTTACTTGATAATATCACGTGATATACGTTACTTACTTGATAATATCACGTGATATACGTTACTTACTTGATAATATCACGTGATATACGTAACTTACTTGATAATATCACGTGATATACGTTACTTACTTGATAATATCACGTGATATACGTTACTTACTTGATAATATCACGTGATATACGTTACTTACTTGATAATATCACGTGATATACGTTACTTACTTGATAATATCACGTGATATACGTTACTTACTTGATAATATCACGTGATATACGTTACTTACTTGATAATATCACGTGATACACGTTACTTACTTGATAATATCACGTGATATACGTTACTTACTTACTTGATCTTGTTCAACTGCATATCAAACTTAAGAGGGTTCGTCGTTTATGTCACAAAATAACGAAAAATCAGGGTGATCCAAAACTTTTGTAATAAAATGGTTTTAGGAAGTCAGAAGAAAGAGCTCCTTCCGCTGACGAGGCCTTAGAAGGCGCTGTGGAAGAGGCAGCCGGGGTGCGGGAGGGGTCTGTGGAAGAGGCAGCGACACAGCTGAAGGATATAGACTTCAGTGACTGGCTGAATGAGCACCTGTGTGAATTGGACCTGACACACGAGCAGGCGGAGGAGAAGAGTGTAGGGGAGTGGACGGAAATACGCCTCTTCCTCAGCTCCACCTTTATTGACACACAGGCGGAGCGGGATGAGATTATTAAAACTATAATCCCGGAGATAAACCGGAAGATGGCCCCTAACTTTATAAGGATAATCCCAGTAGATTTAAGATGGGGCGTGCTGGCTGAGGAATGTAAGAGCTGCTATGATATTCAGAAGACTTGTCTGAATCAGATAGACAACTGCAGGATGTCGGAGAAACAGAGCCCCTGGTTCCTGGGGCTCAGAACCTCTCGATACGGCTGGCTCCAAAACGAGGTAATGCCCAGTCAAGGTTTCGAGACTCCTCAGAACTACGGCTGGATAGACAAGTTGAGTGGGACAGAGAAAGCAGTGAGCATCACTTCTCTGGAGGTGTGCCATGCTTCTCGTGTCCCGGAGACTCTACCCCCCTACCCGACTGTGTTCTTCTATCACCGTCAGTTCACCCCTGCAGCACAGGAGAAGCTGAGTGGGGACGAGCTGAGGTGGGTGTTTGATTTCGAGTACACAGCTGAAGAAGTTCTGGATCCCGAACTGAAACATCAGTACACTCTTATTGACAAGGCTGGAGCCTATGCTAAGGATAAAGACGAGCTAGATGACTTCCTGAAAGACCAGTCTCACATGTTGTACTCTGATTATAGTGCTGATTATAAACAAGCTTACTACACCAACAAAAGGGAGAATGCTAAGAGCTTCGGGGTCGGCTACACCGACAACTTGGGCGAGTTCGCGCAAAAAGTTGAGCGAGATCTGTTGACGGCTATAAAAATGAACTTCATTGTGCCTGATGCAAGCAACCTTGACGGTTATCTTTTTGACACAATTCAGCATGAGAATGCCATTAAATTAAAAGCATCAACATTTGTTGGGAGGACAGAAATGGCAGAGGAGACGTTTGAACACACTAAAAGTACTGAAGGTGAACACACGCTGATACTGCACGGGGATCCAGGTTGTGGTAAGTCAGGGTTACTGGCTGCTGTGGCTCAACGCACTATCGACTGTAAAGGTAAAGACGATTTCGTGTTCGTGCATGCAGTTGATTCCTGCCCGGGCTCCAATCTGCTAGAGAAGTTTCTCAGGAGACTACATGTAAATTTAAGAACTTTCAGACGAGAGCGCGGGGAGATCAACATATCATCTGATCCGCCAGAATCCATTACTGACCTGAAGCAAGAGCATCACTCCTTCATCATGAGCACAGCAGAGCAGTATCCAGGGAGTAAGTTTGTAATAATTGTAGACGCTGTGAACCAGTTCCATAACAGTCTGGGAGCATGGGACATGTGGTGGATGATTAGAGACGAGGGGGCCCCCAACTTGAGGTTTATTATATCCACCCTTACGGAGGAAAACAACACTTACAAGAACGCTATGATATCATGCAAACACTCACGGTCACTTGAAGTCTCACAAATGTCCCAAGAAGATCTGGTAGACATGGTGAACAGAACACTGGAGAGGTACAACAAAAAGCTCACTAATTACGACGACAGACTGCTGGGAAACCAGATTGAAGTTCTCCTCTCTAAAAGCTCATCTCCTCTGTTTCTCATTGCAGCCTGCGAGGCTCTCAGAAAATTCGGGATCTTTGAGAAGGTTTCAGAGTACATAGCTTCCTTCCCTGACAGAATAACAGGACTGTTTAGTTTCCTGGTAGACGAGTGGTCGGGGGAGTACGGTAAGGATTTCACAGAGGACGTGTGTGGACTGATATGTCTGTCTAAAGACGGACTGCTGGAGAACCAGATTAATGACCTACTGAGGTTCAAAGAGGAGATGGTTCAGGGAGAGAAAGGAGGTTTCCTGTATGACTCTTCTTTCTCCAGGATATACGACTCTGTCAGTAGTTTTCTAGCGGCCGGGGGTGGGGGTTACCTCAGGTTCTTCCACGACCAGCTTAAATACACTATCAGGGATAAGTTTCTGGACGATACATTCTCCCAAAACACCCACCAGTGGTTCTGTGACTTCTTCATGGCGATCATCCAGCCCCAACTCTGCAGCCAACCTCAGGCGAAAACTCCAGATTATTACGAGCACGTTCTCAACCAAATTGTGCATCACCAACTAGAGGTGGCAAGGGTTACTCAGTCTTTTGAAACTTTCAAACTCACGCTGAGGAATATCTACTTTGTAAGAGAGCGGATCCAGTTTAACCAGCATAACAATCTTAACAATGAGTACCTAGCAGCAATAGAAGCTGCTCCACTAGACAAGGCAGCCTTTAAACTGTGGGCTAAGTTTGTTCAGCTTTACACACCAGCTATCAAGGAGTTTCCTCAGTTCGCGTACAACATGGCCACTAACCAGGCCCCTAGCTCTGTAGTAAGTCAGGACACTCTGCTCCTGTCTGCTCCGGAGCCTCAGGTTGGTTACCCCCTCTCCTGGGCTAACATTCCTGCTGCTGATGACCCTATTTCCGTGAAGATACCCTCTTTAGGGGTCGACTGTGTAGCCTCTTCGGTAGCAAAAGATGTTGTTGTGATAGCAGCTAAATCCCACGCTGGTATATACGACTTATCAAGTGGGGAGACGCTACACAAACTACCAGTGAGTGCCTACTCAGTCCACCTAGCAGAAGGGGAGGAGACCCTGTTTGTGGGAGATGGGGAGGGAGTAGTACACTCTTACGATGTGGACTCCGGGGCCCACAAGTGCAGCAGTGAGGCGGGAGAGGGCTGTATTACCTGGCTTGGAACTGACAGAGCGGGGCTGGTTATCGCAGGGCCCGGGTACTCCAGGAAAGCAATATCTTGGGACGGCCACACCTCAGTCGGTAAATACATGGTGCTGGATCCAGAGGACCTGAGTCTAGTGAGGAGCTGGGGGTGCGAGGACCCTTCCTTCCATCACTCCTACAACACAGCTACCCACAAACTCATCAGCTCACACAAAGGATTCCTTGCTGTGTGGGACCCTGACTCCGGGGAGAAACTCTTCACTGGATCAGATGACAGTGGGTGTATTTATTGTGTAGACAGTCACCTGACAGAGCGTCTAGTTATATCAGGTAACAATGAGTTGCAGGTAGTTGAGTGGGAGCTAACAGAGCAGGGTCTGCAGATACTAAGGAAGGTGGAGCTGCCCTGTATCAGTGGCTGGGCGTATGGGGGAGTGTGGAGTGTGAAGTACAGTGTGGACGGGGATCTGATCTACTGTACTGAGCCACAGTCTCAGAGCATCAAGATCTACAACAAGGAAAGTGAAAAGGTTGGGGAACTGAAGGGACACTCTGATTGTGTAATGAAGATCTCCACAGTGCCGGGGGAAAGTAGAGAGATCCTCTCCTCTGATAGAGACAGTGTTAGTTTTATATGGAGCCTGCCCTCCTCTGGAGATGTAGACGCTTGTAAACAGGAACTTGATGAGAAGGTGCAGTGGGTAGGGTTCAGTGTAGGGGAGGAACTGTTCGCTACAGTCACAGACAACCGATGCAGACTGTGGGACTCCGTGGATCTCAAGGTGGTTAGGTCTGTAAAATTTGGGGGTTTCTACAGGTCTAAAGGAGCATTTCATCCTGATGGGGAGTGTCTGTTTTTAAACTCTAGAATGGGAGTTCTCGTCTACAACCTCCAGCTGCAACTACTGGAATCTTATCAGGGTATGTTTCTTGTTGTAGTTTTTAAAATATTTCATTGTGTTTAGGAAGTTAATATTGACTAGTTTAATCTTAACATTTCAACACAGCTGATGTAAAACGACCTCAGTGCTAAAGAGTGAGGATGGTTCCACCACTGATCTGAAGATAACACCTGATGGCAGCAAGTTCCTAGTGACAGAGTGTAGGAACAGTAACAGTGAGCTGAGCAAGGCTTTTGTGTGGAACTGCTCCGATCCGAGTTCTGCTTCGGAGCATCTTATAAAAGAGTAGGTTAAACTTGTTAAACTTACTAGGATAACTAAGTTAAACTTGTTAAACTTACTAGGATAACTAAGTTCAACTTGTTAAACTTACTAGGATAACTAAGTTAAACTTGTTAAACTTACTAGGATAACTAAGTTAAACTTGTTAAACTTACTAGGATAACTAAGTTAAACTTGTTAAACTTACTAGGATAACTAAGTTAAACTTGTTAAACTTACTAGGATAACTTTTTGCTGTATTATTATTCCCCCTTGAAACAATAATTAAATAATGTACAATTGTAATTTGTACACGTGACCACCAAAACAGTGTTTTCCCATCCAGGGAAGCATTATTTTACCCTACGTCATGGGGGTTAAATTGAATTAGTTTCGTACCCTCAGGGCCTTTTCAAAGAATTTTCCTAAAATTTTCCGAGCGATTTAGTGAAAGCTCACGTCATCAAGATCTAAAATTTTGCCATAAAAAGAATTTTACCGCGGTTACACCACTACGCACAATCAGTTTTTCCAATAATCATTTCAAGTGAATAGTTGCTCTAACCAATTAACCAAAGCCCTCTCGCTTACCTGGGACCGCAGAATTTCATGTTCATTGTAGGAACCTCCCGTGGGAGTAGCTACTAACTAGTCACTAGGTCTACGCAATTTATAGGGCTCCATCCTATAAGAACCAGTATAGGATCTAACTACGCCTGGTATATAGTACTGACTACAAGTCTTAATAACTTGCGGTCTAACTACTAGTAGCTAGAGCGCTCTAATGATGACTAGCTTGAGGGTCTTCGGGATCGATAGTCTCCACCAGTATGGTGTTACTCTAATTCGCCAAGAACTTGTATCCTCCTGAAACTGTACGAGTTAAGCTTGTGATTAAATACGATTTTCTGTGTCAAGGACTCAAATTTACTTGTGGCACTGCACACTTTTAGTAATTGTAACGACTCAACTTTCAATCATAGTCTCAGAGACTTGCAATATAGCAGTTTTAGCAGTTGTCGTGTAAGCGATTAATGACAGTATATGAAAAGACCAGCAGAACATCTGGTCATCAAGGTAAGTAGTATCAAGTATCATAGTATAGTACAATAAAATATAGTATCGACCGAGCTAACCGACCTTAGGATGAGTAGGAGGGGTGGACAGTTGAAGAGCTGGTTCTCTAATCTGCATATCGCCACCGCAGCTTAAAGAGTCGACTTTCCTCAACATTGTTTGTTTTGAAACCCCACGGTGGAGGTTGGCGTGTGCCGCAATTTATTAATCAATGGTTATTACATAAATGAAATTATAGAAGTCACAATAAAATATAATAATGTTAAATAAAATATATTAAAATAAATGCCCTACTAAAAGTACTATATAACTAACGGTCTGCAAAACTGGTTGAAGTCGCAATTTGTAAACATGCTAATTACTATTTAGTAATAATAGATAAAAAGTTTTGCGCGGCAGATGTAAATTCGGCAATATAAATGGCAGTGAAATTAAAATGATATGTTGTTGATAAAAGATCATAGTCATTTGTCGCGAGTGATCTTTCTTTACGCGTTGTCGCTTACTTATAACTCGGTGCTGTAGTCTATTTGCAAGCGCCCTTCTCTTTGAGACTTTCTTAGCCCAGGTATACTATAAAGTAAGAAATTTGGCCAATTTTCATCGTCTCCTGAGCTTTGCAGCTTGAGGAGTTCGCGCTTAGCTGAATTTTTAAAGATTTCAATTGAAAAGGTAGAACTTGGAATAGTTATATCCTTACTTAGTTTTGTAATAGAGAGCATGGGTCCTTTGAAGAAAAGAGTATTTCTAAATGTTGGGCTGTTGTAAGTTGTGAACCAAGAAAGGTTATGTTCGTATGTGGAATTATAGGTGGGAATATCGTGAGGGAAAAGTTCTTTGATGGATTTAGGGAGAAGGCTTGGCATGTTCCTTACTTTGTGTAGTAGAATAAGAGCGTTTTTTACAATGACGCTATGGACTGTTAGGATATTATGCAATCTAAACGCACTTTTTGTGTGCTCCGGGGGATTGCCGTCTTTATATCTATAATTTACATATCGGTATCCTGACATAACAGCTCTAATTCCCTGCTTTTGCTTGGTGAACAGAGATTCAATGTGACATTTTGAGGCAAATCCCCACACTAAAGAACAGAAATTTAGATGGGATTGGATAAGGCTTTGGAAAATGTTTAGGCGGGCTTTGATAGGTAGAAGGTGCTTTAGCTTATACATAACTCCGAGGTAGCGACCCATCTTTATTCTAACTGCCGTAATGTGTTTTTTCCAAGTGAGCTTTTCGTCTAGGATCACTCCTAAAAATCTTGCTTCAGTCTTACGTTCGATTACAGTGTTGTCAATGGACAAATTAAAGCCGCTGAAGTCGATTCTTTTTCTAGTGAAAATCATGTAACACGTCTTTTTTACATTTAAAGATAGCCCATTAGCACCTACCCAATCTACAAGACGTGAAATTAGCTGATTAGCTTTTAATTGTATTTCTTCTAGGGTGGTTCCACTAATTAATATGTTTGCGTCGTCGGCATAAAGGATGAACTTTGCAAAATCACTAATTCCAGGTAGGTCGTTTATATAAATTACAAATAAGAGAGGTCCTAGAATGCTACCCTGAGGAACGCCGTAAACTATGGGCATGCTAGAAGAGCAAGTTCCGTTTAAAGTTACGTATTGAGATCGATTACAAAGGTAAGATCTAAACCATTCGTGCGCGACTCCCCTGATCCCATAATGGTCAAGCTTCTTAAGCAAGGTCTCATGATCAAGCACGTCAAAGGCTTTACTGTAATCGAGCAGGAGCAGTAGGGAAATTTGTTTCTTATTCAGAGAGTGTAGTATAGAATTTTGGGCATTGAGCAGTGCATGTTCGCACGATCTTCCTGGCCGAAATCCGTATTGATTTTCGAAAAGAGAATCGTTCTTATCTAAAAATTCTAAAACACGAGCATGCATAAGTTTCTCATAAATTTTCGAGAATGATCCCAAAAGAGAGATCGGCCTATAATTAGCTACTTCCAATTTTGAACCACCTTTGTGGATAGGAACGACTTTCGCAGTTTTTAGAGCATTTGGGAAGGTACCACTGGAGAACGAACAGTTAATGACATTAGCTAGTGCCCTGGTAAAGTTTTCGCAGCTGTTTGCAATTTTCAGTGGCTCAATTTTACAATCGAGTGTGGACTTGTTCTTAAGCCCTGATATTATCTTTTGGACTTCACCGTGTGATGTAGGCTTAAGAAACATCGAGTTACTACACGAAGCCTTAAGAAAATGCTTGAAACCACCTGGGTCAAAGGTTCGACGGGCAGCGATTTGCCTCTTGATACTGGCTGCAATACCGGAAAAGTAGCCGTTAAATTTCTCAGCGACTGCCAGATCGGAGCTTATAATCGTGCCATCGTCGTCCTTCAGACGGGTGTGTCCGAACTTTTTTCTGTTACGGTTCAGGAGGCCATTGATAATTTTCCATTGACTTTTAGAGCAGTTTTGGTATTTGTCAAACATTTTTTTATAGTACTTTTCTTTGGCTAGATTCACATGTTTGTGACAAAACTTTTTCATTTTATCATACGCGTCGCAGTTTTTTTGTGATGGATTTATAGTTTTGTCAAAAAAAAGTAACTTCTTGCGGTTGCATGCCGCCTCAAGCCAGGGTAAGATCCAAGGCTTTGGGTCAGCTCTTTCGAATTTTCTTCTCGAACTGTCGCGCTTCAGGGGGTATGCAGTATTGTAGTGTTTCATGTACGTTTGATAGATGGAATTGTATTGTTCATCAGCGCACGTTGAGGAGGTAGCATCATCCCAGGTCTCACTTACAATAAGCTCTTTGAATTTAGCATGATTAGCTTCGTTAAATACACGGGCCTCTAATTTCAAGCTAGTGTTGTTGTTCTTTACACGTTGACTACGGAATCGCTCGTTCAAACTAGGTGTGGCTCCTAAACTAATGGTCGTGCTAACCGCGAGATGATCTGACATATCCAACGTCACGACATTACAACTAATAACGTTGGTCACGTGATTAGTATACACGTGATCAATAAGCGTTGCACTGTGGTCAGTTACCCTGGTAGGCTTGGAGACAGTCTGGGCAAACCCATATTTTTCTAGTAAGCTTATAAGATCCTGGCTGTAAGCGTCGGTATCGTATTTTACAAGATCAATATTTGCATCACCCAGGAAGACTATCTGTTTTCTGGAGTGTCTATCAAGACCCCTGAGCACGTTTTCAAACTTTTCAAGGAATTTTTTAGGGCTTGTGGATGGCGAGCGGTAGAAATTTACGATGATTTTTGTCTTATTTCCGTTTTTAAAATTGTTGATTTTAAGCAATTGAAATTCTCCGCAAGTAACTTCTTCTGGACTCAGATTGAGTTCGAGTTCCTGTATTTTATCGTAATCACAAACGCGTTTGTTAACATAGAGCGCAAGACCACCTCCTTTTCCAGATTTACGTGCAGGTTCTTTGATAAAGGGCTCGTAAAACTGTTCGATTTCAATGTCGTTCAGACCATTAGGAAGATTAGAAATTTTACAGTTGGTTTCATTGAGGCAGATGAGGTCAAATTTGGAGAATGTTTCTATTTCTTCTCTAAAATTTGAGATATTCTTCACGAGTGATCTAACGTTTAACGAAAGTATCTTAATTTCGCGATTGCTAGGGGTCTTGATATTATCAGGGTGTTGGTACTTACAGCTAACCAATATCTCCGATATACAATTGTTGAGATCGATTTCGCTGGAATCTATATCATCAGTAAGTTCGCCTATTTGATTCAGTACGTGAGAACGAATATAGGGGTTAAAAGTGGGGGTTATCGTATTGTAATTATCATTAAGTTCGTAGGAAGTTACTCTATAGCCAGGTATTAGGTTTAGACAGCATGTAATACAACCTTGTCTATGCGTCTAAAGGTCACTGACACACGACACGAGGTGACGCCAGGTTCGGGGTGTATCGCATGCTCCCAGAAAAACTGAGACTCTGTG